AGGATTTTCATATGGCGTCGTTGGGATGAAGCCGAGTCTCCCGAGTGCATGTGCCCCCCAGCTCAACGAAAGGTCAGTTTTATGATTTGGGGGTGCATAACCTGGCAGGTTGTGGTAACTGAAACAACTGTAAACGGCACTATTAACAAGCACAAGTATATTGAAATCTTGGAAAATAATTTATGGCCCGTTATAGCACGACACTTCCTAATAAAAATTTCTTATTTGAAGATGACAATGCCCCTATACATAAAGCCAGGGATGATGAAAATTGTAAGGCTAGGAATAATATTAACTCTATCAGCTGGCCAGAACATTCCCGATTTGAATATAATCGAAAATGTATGATTGAAACTTAAAAAAACTATTGCAATGTCTTGCTATAAACAATTGGACTGCTGCCGAACTTTCACATGCAATAACACAGGAGTGGCGAGCCTTGCCGGTGGAATGGATGTGTATATACAGGGCCTCTACAGATCTTTCCCAGGGCGTATGAGAAAAGTAATAAGAGTGAAAGGAGAAATGACAAAATACTACACAGGTATGTCATTTTACTATGTTTATTTTCCATTTAATCAACCCCGTAACACAACGTAAACAAACGCAGTGAGGCCATTTTTGCCGGTGACTTATGGCACGTGTCTGTATATCATGTTGTTCTTGGTCCCCTACCGGTGAAAGAGGAGGGGACTAAAGGTTTTCCTCTGCGTCTCTTCGTCCGTATGTCTGTCCGTCCGTCAGTCTAGCTGTCACTGTCTGTCTGTCAGACTGTCCTTCTTGGTGGTCCACCCTTTTTTTCTAAATGGTTGCAGATATTGAGCTGAACTTTGGAATGTGAGTGTATCTTAATAAGTTACAGATCAAGTTTAAATGTTGTTTTGATTTATTGATATTTGACAGAGTTACGGCATTTTGAATTTTTTATCATGGTTTATGATCGGGTTCGTGCAGCGCTTAATCCCGTTGGTCAACATGGTAAATATGAAGCGAGAAAATATACGTTGAAAAAATGAATTGAACTTTCAACTTTATGTGGATTATTTTATTAGGTTAAAGCCGACTAGTTAAAGGTATTCACATACTCAAAATCAAGCAGTTTTACCTTGGTCATAACTTGGTTTTGCAAATCATAAAAGGACATCCTAAAGAAAAAGGAGAACCCGGTAGGGGACATGTATCGCTTACGCAATACTCTCATAGTGCTTGTTCATTATATATTAATCATTATTCTTTAAATTTTACTACTTTTTTTAATTTCAGTCTATAGTTTTATAGCATAAAAAGATAATACTTGTAGGAACATGTATATTTGACAAGTTTCATGCATGAAACAATTTAATTTTCCATAATAGTTGTGACTCTCCTCTTCAGTATTGAAGATTTCTCACATGAAACTTTTATATACCTGTAACATACATCGTGTCCTTTTAATGAAATATGTACGTATGATATCACAGGTGCAAATAATTACATCATTTTTATTTGTTTAAATTAAAAGGGTATCTTTGAGCTACAAACGTAGGTCATTAAATAATTTTTATATTTAAATGTTCGGAAAATATCCTTTATAAATGTTCCATAAATGAGATATAAAATTTAAATAGTCGCCGTAATAACCAATAACAACTATATTACAATAAAAAATAATTAAAGAACCGGTCTCTAACACGGTTAATCAGTTTTATGAATCCTTGAAGGATCTTACTTTTGATTTTAGAAAAAAAAGAAGATATCAATTGAATTTTGTTAAGTGTTAAAAGCAACTATAGGATGAAATGTGACCAAAAAATTGCGGAAAAAAGATCCTTGAAACATATACCATGAACAGCTTATGATATTTAATTTTAGTTGGCATTGGTTGCAAAGGTTTTTATAGCAAAGTCTTCAAATTTACACTCTTTGTATTTCAATATGATCCTATTATTTGGGAAAAAAATCACATTTTCTTGGTTTTAACTGATGATCAATTTTTAAAGATGTTCGTGTGGACCTAACTTTTCAATTAAAAAAAGTTAAATCTTTAAATAGAGCATCGCTATGGAATAAGCAGAAAATATATGCTCATTTTTTTTTAAATATATGCTTTCTTAGATACGTACACTTAATTGAAGATTTCCAAAACTTTTATGATAAGTATTTAATGGCTAACCTGACTTTTAATTCTAACTATCATTAAATCTCTAACTGGAAGCACAAAGCTGGTTCACAGAATTTTAAATTCTTTCAATTCCTTAAAAATCGAACATGTTCCCTTCTTTGTAACCGTAGCAACAATGTTGTTTTCCTCATCAAATTTTATCAATACTGTAAAACGAGAATATTCGGCGAACAACTAATTTTAGCGCCTTCGGCGCAAGAGCCTTTGAACGCTAAAATTTATTGTGCGCTAACGGATTTCTAAATTTTATATGTTGTGTTTGTTCAAAGCTTTCACATAAGTAAAAGTAAATCGGAACGCACGATTACGTAATACCGAGGTCGTTGAATTTTATATACACACTAGCACTGTACATGGTAGGATCTATCGGGAAAGTTCTGCCAAATTATAATTTAATTAAAACTCTTGTTACCAAGGTAGTTATTACCCATTACTTATCATTAGCACCTTCAACGTTTGGCTTCTTGGCGTGTCAATCATCTATCATCTCGAGGTAAACAATACAATCAAGCATGGCGACTGCTCTTGCAGACAATGCCTAATTATGATGACCGTGATAATTATCCAAGTAACTTTCTTTCGATACATGCATTGTTTTAATGTAAATAAAATGCGTAAATACTCTATTTCTTTTATTCAAAATAAAATTAAAATAAACATTAATGTGTGCCACGTCAATGCAATTGCAATACGGTGTTGAGGAGTGTTTACTGAATTGTGTTTCCGTGCTTGACAAACCAAACAGGCAAATACGAGTGTAGATAAAAAAAAAATCACATTTATATATTTTAATGACAAGTGCAAGCGCTAAAATTTATTAGCGCCAATGCATTCCTACTTGCGTTTGCGCTAAAATTCGTATGCGCCAAATTTTCTCGTTTTACAGTATATGACATTCACATTTAGTTCTACCCTATAAGTACCATTCAAGGTGAGTCATATAATATGTTTCTTGATTGAACGACAAGTAAATTCTTAATGCAGCAAAAATTATTTTAACAACAGATACTGGTATTTTCTATGTTACACTGCAAATAACCATTCATCCCAATTTTCTTGTGGTGTTTGTGCTGCAAGGTCCAAAGGATGCATATTTGCCAGTCTTATTAAATTTGCATCTTTCTTTCTAAAAGAAAGTAGCATTAACCGAATCTTAGTTACTGATTCTCCTTGGTTACATTATGTTGCCATGACAACCTTAAAAATATTTATTAAATAATATTGTTTATTCTTATAAATGTAAGGTCAAACATTTTCATTGTGTTTCTTAAGTTATTGATTGAGCTTGATCATGTTAATCTTATTATTAGTGGATACAGATGGATTAAGTTTAATAAAATCAGTGACAATGCGTGGCAACGAAGTATAATTGGTAACAGAGAATAGCTCCTTAAATGCATATGTCATTTGCTATCTGTAATGCAAAATCTTGCACAAACCGTTTACCTGCAATCAAGCATTTTTAACACAACTGAAAAGTAAATTGTATCTTTAATGTAATGTCAATGTCATTTTTCTACAACTTGCTAAAATCTCATGAAAATAAAAAAATCATATATATTTTCAAATATAATATCACGTTATAATTATTTACGCTTCAGAGACACGTGTACCATGCTATAAACTGCTTCCAAGGAAGAAGTTACATAATATTCCTATAACGTTAAGTGTATATTACTCCATAATTCAGTAAGTTGTGTGTTTTATCCACTTGTAAGGGTTAAAGGAAAAAACCACACAACCCTTTTCATTATAATCATTCCCAACTACAATTCATGGAAGTTCATATAATTATCACACTCAACGGTATAAGGATGACAATAAATGGTTGTTTAGAGTAAGAATAAAAATGGTTGCAGAAAAAAAATAATTATAATCATTGTAAGTTAAAAAATTCATTATGTCTTTGAAATTCATTATTTGCATCATTTACAAATAAAATAAGTGTGGAATATATTTTAATTCAAGCATCCATATTTGTTTGTATCGTTTGTCCATAATGTCAAATGAAATAACCAATAATATTCAATATCAACTTCCATTAAACAATACAAAATTGGAGCAGAGCAAACACGGACCTCCAAAGGGTCAGAGGTGACATCCTCCTTTGGAGGAGTGGGCACCCCCTGTGGGGCGGGGCGTAAGTATCCTCGTCTGATTTACATCACTTCTCGATAAAAGTACAATACTCCAGAAGTTCTCAATCACTTATGTTATTATTTTCGGAAGGAGTAAAGAAAGAGGAAAGAGAATGTACTGAAATTTGCCTTGTGTCTTCGTTTGTAAGGATTTTTATGAAGTTTTGGAATACACTATAGATTTGGTAATTCAAATCAATTCTGGTTGTTAGAAATATTAAAAATATTGAAATCTGACAAATGATTTTGAAGACTTTACTCCTTAGAAAGAGCGCTATGGGTATAAGTTAGATTCTTAGAGAATTAAATCCCAGTTCTTTTAGTATACATTTAATATACTGTGCCTTACACAAATAGAAAATGCTGTTACCTCGGCTGGTTTGTTACAGGTAGCATGGTAAATCATCATCTGACACTTTTATTTCAAAACAATATTTTATTCTTTTGAACTGTTGATATATAACGAACAAATATACACTTTTGAAGAAAGAACAAAAAATAATCAAACAAAATGAACATTTCCATGACTTTTTACATTCATATCTGAAAAAAAATTCTCATTATTTGTTTGACTCATTTCATATCTTTTACTATTTAGACTTTCGATTTCCTGATTTTCATATCGGCATACATCAAGGAATAATTATATCCTTTCCAATCAAACCAGTTCACACCGTCAGCAAATGATTTGTGCTCTCCTCTCAAGAGAGACCGTTTAGGTTAGCTCGGTGACATCCTGTGTACCACCATCCACCTTTAAATCTATTTGCACACCTTTTCTCATTGTCATGATCCTTAGTGTAGAATCTGGCATTAGTATGTGTATAAAATGAGTCGCCTAAATCAAAGGAAATTGATGAGATTAGAAATAAGATAAGGAATATAACATTACGCTGGTATCAAATAATGATAAACATAAAAAGGATGACGCAAGGAACATACCAGCATCTCCACTGTAACCCGAGACATTCAGAATGTATCCCGACTTCTCGCTTCCGACATTGAAGGTGCTGTAGCTTGCATATCGAGAATTTCCAGAGAAATCCTTCAAGTCGATTCGTAAAGTGTAATTCCCGGATGCTGTAATCGTGTGGATTTTCTCATTTCCTGTTAGAAAAAAAAATTAGCCCAAAATCAGACACATGTTAAGGATAGAAATAAATGCCGAGTGGATACCAAGAACGGAATAATACTTTTACATAAGTATAATACACATAAAAAAAACAAGTTTCGGTATTAAAGAGCTGCAAATCAATAAAACTGTATAATTATCATATTTAAAAAAAATAATCATAAACTTTTTTGGCATCAAATTTGATATATCCGAAACTGAACTTTAAGAAGCTGTTTTAAAATCAAAGTCAGCTAATTTTTAAATGAAAGACTTTTCAAAAGTATTGTCAGACTTTCCGCCACATTTTTACTTGCTTGTTTTCTGCAAGTATAGCATGTTCAAAACCCTAATGAATGTTAATTATGTGGAATTGCGTCTTTGGGTTACATTAAGACAGGAGTTAACGATATCGGAATGTGTTTCTTATGGAATTTTTACAATGTTCGCCATGTCTAATTGAAGTTCAGAGTAGAAATGGTTTAGATCGATTAGAAGCAAGCAAAGCTGAAAGCTGTAACTAGGCTCTTAACGTATCCAAAAGAAGCGCATCTCGCCTTTAGGATAGCTATCGAGAACATGGATTAACTTTCGACCTTCCAAGGCTGATTAAAAGCACTTTCATAAAAAATAAAACAGCAACATCAACTGATTGAAAGCTTTCCAGAAGACGTACGTAGGATCTCCAACCGAACACTAAATAACCGAATACAAGGTTCTGGCATTCGAGCAAAAATATCATTTGACATCTGTTGCTTGAATAAGAACGATAGTCAAAACAGAGTTTAATGATGAGTTTATGGAATATGGCGACAACAATGTTGGAAGTGTTTTGTTTAGCGAAGAATCAATGTTTTGATCCTCCGCATAGATGGTCAACCGATTCAGACATGGATATTTTGTTACTGCCTGCATCAAGGAAGTCAACAGATTTTGAATTGAAAGTGGAGTCGTGACTGCAATATCCCACAATTGAATAATAAGTCTTTAACATTTTTATGAAAAGTCGAAGGCGGATTATACAGATGGATCCTTATAATGACCCCCTCTTTGGTTCGAAAATACATATAAGTTTGTTTGCTAAGTCCTTTAATACGTATTTTGAGTAATTACTTGGATTTAATTAAATTTTTTCATTTCTTTTATTTGACAAAATGTTCTTTTCGCTCTTACAGAATTTTCTGGAAGAGGTTTGAGGTTATTAGAAAAAAGAAATATTTGATTCAATAAAATTGCAAAAACTTACTTTCCATCGATACGGTTTCCAAATATTTGTAAAAATATTTCCATAAAATGTAACAAATAAAATCATAATAACTACACCTAGACTAAACCTAGCCAAAACTCATTTAGATATTTCCAAATCCAGTTTTGTAGTCGTACAAGTTTCTGAAGAAATTTTCTTATCCGTCCTGCCTCCTTTGTACAACCTCCAATAGAAATATATGAATAAAAGAAATTATGATTACAATGTACTTCTTTAATTCAAAGGTAATTTAAAAAAAAAACCTACTCTTACTTCTAACTGTTTAGAACCTTAAGAGATCAATCTGGTAGATGGAGAGAAGAAGCAACATAGTTTGAGATTGATTTATCGAGATATTCCATTTCAATCCATCATATTGTTGCATATTGTTGATCTCGGAAACATCAAAAGATGGATAGGATACTATGGGGGAGTGATAATACCCTGTTGATCGCTTACATCCGCCGTGACTGTATAATTCTTGTACGATTTATGGCTTGTTAAAACCAAACATATGTATCCGGAGATACTTAACAGGCTTCAACCAACAAGCGTATGGTTTTTTTTATGATATGATTAATAAAATCAATTTTACATTATGGAGAAGTTATGAATGAAATATAAATTTATTTAATTCATAAAAAAAATACAGATTATTATCCACCAATTTTAGAAGAAAAAAAGAAATTTCATCCTTTTCAACTGTGTCGTAGTTCTCTTAAAAATATTTTTCGTTCTAATTCATTCTCTTGTTATTTTAAAATTT